ACAGAAGCCAAGGTTAGCAGTCATTGTGAGGAGAATGGGGCAGCCGTTACAACTTATTTCTGAAAAACAGCTTTGTCTTGTATAAAATGGTGGTGTTCAGGCTCTAACTCTAGGCCAGCTATAGCACACATATGGTCACAGAAAATGCATCTTTGCTTTTGTGTCTTAATCACTTGCTTCCAACTTAGGCTTTTGGCTCAGAAGATTATTGAATAATGATTTTAGTTTCTGTTTCACTAAGGGAATTCTGAGGCCGTTGCTGTGATACCATCATTAAGACCTTCACATTTCTTCATATAATCTCTCTGCATTTCAAATCCTAACCAGTATTTCATACTCTTATTACAGGGCTCTGATGCTGCCAGCACTCTCTTTTACATAGGAAATTCGAGATTTGCACAGTAAAAGAGGAATTAGAATTACCTAACTATACACTTTGATTCAGCCTGCTAAATCAGGGGTTCACTACTAGCTTAGACAAACTTTGTAGTAATGATTTGCTACTAGCCTTATTGGAAACAAATTATCAACTAGTTTCCCCTGCACAAATTTTGAAATTCACTGCTTCACCTAATCTATTTATATTACTAATATGGTATAATAAGGATGAATTAATTATATATTACTTAACTAGTATTCAATGAAAAACAGGGACTGAAATAGTTCTGTATTCCGTGTTTGCAACAGCCAGCCAACTAAGCACAGGATAAACTGAGGAAGGAGACCCAGGCATTTGGGATTCCCTCCGCCTCTGTCATCCACTGTGTATCTCAATAAAAGAGAGAGCAGGCCAGCTGGCGCCTCCTGAATCTCCATCCCGAAAGCAACAGGCTAGGCCTTGGGGAAACTCTCCAGAAGGCACTATTTTTATTTAAAACAAGATCAAACCAGAAACCTTTTCACATGTGAGTCCTCGAACCCTTTCATATGTAATTCCTGAAACTATAAACAGAAACCTTTTCTTTCATATGTGAGTCCTAAAACTATGAACCTAAGATTCTTCCACGTGTAACATCTAAAGTATAAGCCTATACAAAGGCTGAACCTCACTTTGTTAGACGAACTTGGCTGTTAGGCACCTATGCCACCTTGCTCCCAGCTGAAATAAATTCCTTCCTCCTGTATTAGGTGTCGGAGAGATCCTTTCCCGAGGTCGCTCCTGCTACAAAACAGTTAGCAAATGAATGTAATAATTACTCATTTCCTAGATATCTAAGCACATAAGCAAATACAGGAGCAGACTCCATTCTTTTTCTTAACAAAAAGCATCTTCAGTGTGTGATTTAAAAGAAGGAAGATTCTGGTTTCCTAAAAAACAATATTTTGGCCTGTGTTGATTCTTATTCTGAATGTGTGTTTACATAATGTATAGTATATATTCAGAAAGTATTTTTGCTTCAACGTTTACTTTCTATGACGTAGTGTTTTGGCATTCCCACAGCACCCCACCTTCCCCGACAGATGTACAGTGTTCTGTCTCCATGCGAAATCTACAATGTAATATGAGTGCATTGTATGGGTTTGAAACCAAAGGATGAATGAAGCATTCAGACACTTAATATTTGAAAAAGGGATACTCAGTATTTTTATATTTTATTACAGGTACTGATATTTATCAACTTCATAAACTGCAGCATGCTGCCACATGTTGTCAAGTACATGCTGAACAATAAGGATTGAGGAGTTGTTTTTTAATGGTTGCCTAAAGCAGCTGCTGTAGAAACGTGGAACTGAAATTTTGCCTCCGGTCACACCTTCATACATTGGTCATTTGCAGATATTTTTCCATCATTATTAAAAAATAGGAACTTTTGGGAACCGCCATCTTCCAGTAACTCACCAAAATGATGAACACAAAGGGAAAGAGGACAGGCACTCCATGCATGTTCTCTAGGCCTTTTAGAAAACATGGAGTTGTTCCTTTGGCCACATATATGTGAATCTATAAGAAAGGTGATATTGTAGACATCAAGGGAATGGGTACTGTTCAAAAAGGAACGCCCCACAAATGTTATCATGGCAAAACTGGAAGAGTCTACAATGTTACCCAGCATGCTGTTGGCATTGTTGTAAACAAACAAGTTAAGGGCAAGATTCTTGCCAAGAGAATTATGTGCGTATTGAGCACATCAAGCACTCTAGGAGCCGAGATAGCTTCCTAAAACGTGTGAAGGAAAATGATCAGAAAAAGAAGGAAGCCAAAGAGAAAGGTACCTGGGTCCAACTGAAGCGACAGCCTGCTCCACCCAGAGAAGCACACTTTGTGAGAACCAATGGGAAGGAGGCTGAGCTGCTGGAACCTATTCCCTATGAATTCATGGCATAATAGGTGTTAAAAAAAAAAAAATAGGAACTTTTAGGCTCTGACGATCACGTGGACCAGAGCAAATTAAAGTTCAGTTGGCGTCACAATCCATCGTCGGCCTTCCCCGGAATGCTTTGTTTGGTGATGTATATTCATTCTCAGCTTTATTGTCAGATGCTTAACTGGGCGACGAAGTCTACCTTCACGCCGAACTTTCTCTTGCTTAATCTCAGGCTAAAAGTCAATGATATTTGTAAAGTTTGAATAAAATTCTCTTTACTCATTTTGAGTTAGTATGAAGAAAAGTGATAATTATACGTTTAAGAATTGAAATTGTTCACTTTGTGATAAATGATTAATTCCAAGAGCTTGTTTCCATTTTAAAAAAAAAAAAGAAAGAAAGAAAGAAACAGTATCTCCTGGTAAGCTTTCTATATGTTAGCAACTATATACCTTTTAAAAACACTTTTTCATTGTATATTTCAGCCTATGGTACATAGGGTGAAGTGGCCTACCTCCTTCTCAGCCACATCTTAGGAAATAGAAATCATCTGGGAGAAAAGTATGGCAGCTGTCCTTTATTTTAGCCTTCAGAACATAAATAAAAGAAAAATCATTCATTTTCCAGTTACTTAGGCAAGAGGTTTAGTATTTGTTTTTTACTAAATAAAGTTCACAGCCATTTTAATGCTTTTTTTCAATTGATTTTATCAATGAAACTTTTTACCAAAACAATAAGCAGTTGATGAAAGTACTAAGAACAATTAAAAAAATTAAGAGGGGGGCCTGGCATAGTGGCTCAAGCCTGTAATCCCAGCACTTTGGGAGGCCAAGGCCGGTGGATCACAAGGTCAAGAGATCGAGACCATCCTGGTCAACATGGTGAAAACCCATCTCTACTAAAAATACAAAAAATTAGCTGGGCATGGTGGCACATGCCTGTAGTCCCAGCTACTCGGGAGGCTGAGGCAGGAGAATTGCCTGGACCCAGGAGGCGGAGATTGCAGTGAGCCAAGATGGCGCCATTGCACTCCAGACTGGGTAACAAAAGCGAAACTCCGTCTCAAAAAAAAAAATTAAGAGGGAAAAGCAAAGGTCTTGGACAACATATAAGTTGGATATCAAAGCCTTGGATAGCTGTTTCACTACCAGTTTAATTTTTTTTTCCTAGCTCTCAGTTCTTGGAATACCACATCTTATACTACACTCACATTTAGCCCAAAACTATTGAAAGGAGTCACATGCCTCTCAACCAACAAAGGAGAGTTGACCCTGTCTCAACATCCTCCATTCCAAGCTAGTTTGTCATGAGTCAAAGAACTGTACGCCAGAAACACACAACTGTAATTGCCCTGAACAATTCAGCCAGCCACTGAAATCATTACATCAAGATGCCATAGCCAACAGAACATAAAAAGGAGCAATTTAGAAAGATGATTAGAAATTGAGGGGAATAAACATAAAGAAGACTGGCAAGCTAAATGCTTTTCCATTCCAAAGTCTAAGATATGGAGCAATATAGACGTAGACCCAAGCTAACTGTGATTAGAGTAGATTTTGACCCATTAAGACGGCAGCTACCAGCCACCTGTACTGGGCCACTGGGGCAAAAGAACAACAACAAAAAATAACCCTCAGAAGTTTACTTTAATACAGGTAGAGAGTGAAGAAAAGCCCTGGATGAAGCTTCCTGCATGGAGAATTTGCAGGACTATTGTCCTTTCCAGAAAATGCTGTATCTTTGTATCTTAAATACGTGGAGGGCACTCTTCATGCCCGAGCTACCCAATCCCTCAAAGTCCCCAAGGAAACTTGTGTGTGACCTCCTCCAGCCCCACCTCCACCCACCACTTCTTTCCCATTGTCAGAATTCGCCATCTCCTCCAACAAAGCCAGAGTCCCCGTGCATTGCACCAAGGCTGGGTCTGAGAATGGTAACCCTGCCTTCTCTTCTAATCAGACTTCTCAAGGACACGACCCTTACCATTTATTTCTGGGTCCTCATTACACAGCAGAGCAGGGCACACAAGCGCGTCCAAATAAATGTGGACGGGAGGGGCGGGCATAGTGGCTCACGCTTGTAATCTTGGTACTTGGAGAGGCCGAAGCAGGAGGATCCCTTGAGCCCAGGAGTTCGAGACCAGCCTAGTTAACATAGGGAGACCCTAGCGCTATTTTTTTTTTTTTTAAAATGTGGACCGGAGGAAGAAGAGAGGGCATAGAGAAATGCTCGCGTAACTAACCATGGGCACCCCACATCGCCGCCCAGATCAAAACCCAAGCTTACATCTCCTCAATAAAACGAAGGGCCGGGGCCCGAATTTCAATAAGGCTGGTTACGGGACTGCGAAGGCGGCTTGGAAAATACCCAGTCATCTCCAGTTCTTTTATCTTACGGAGGAAAAAAAAAAAAAAATGATCCCCTAAAGTGCGAGTTCGTCACCGAGTAGAGTCTGGGACACTAATGCGAGACCAGTTCGACCCGGAGCAGAGAGGCGCCGACACCCCACTACGAACCACATTCCCGGGCCGACTCTCCCGTCCGGTCGGGTGGGAGGGGGCAGTCCCCGGCACCTACAGGGCCGGGAGCATGAGCCCACAGACCTCCCCGCCCAGTATCCGCGGGCACCCTACGCCGCCCGGCGCCCCCTGCCCGCCGCCAGGGCCAGGATCCAGACCCAGTCTGGACGCTCACCGTACGATCGGGGAAGGGAAAACAACCTCTCGGAGAGTCCAGTTCTGGTGCTGCCTCCACGGAGTGGAGCCCAGAATCTAATTCAAACTGCCCGCGGACGCCACCTGTACCTGATTCGTTTGCTTCTAGGCTATTGGTCACTATAAGCAGCTGTGGACCAATCCGCGCCTGCGCACTCAGGCTGCCGCCTCTGATTGGCCCTTTCGAGGGATTTTTTTTTAAAAACACGCCCCCTACTGGAGTTGCCTGCGCCAGAGTTACTGTGCTCCTTTTTTGTGGCGGGGAGACAGAGACCAGGTGCTTTTGCTAACGCTAGACGCGATTTTGGACCGCTGTTTCCCCAAAAGTCAGGGAATGCGCCAGCTGATTAGGAAGGCGTGATCTATCGCCTGCAGCCAGGAGAACTGGGCTGCCTAGTAAAACCTCTTGTAAACTGCACTTTGAAATCTACTTGTTTATTAAATATAAATTTAGGATGTAGATACTAGGTACTGTGCTTGTCATGCATTCTTTATCCGGTTCGTTCTTAACAATTCTTTGAGAAAAGTATTTTCCTCTTTTTATTAAAAAGTTAACAGGCTCATAGAAGCTAAATACAGTAATCTGAAATTGCATCTAGGCAATACAGGATGTCGCTTTTTTACATTTTGTGTATGAAGTGTTCTATAACTATCAGTTACGTCAATCTTGTATTCTCGATCATTATGAATTTCCCATCTACTTAATCAATTGCTGAAAGAGGAGTTTTGAAACTTCCAACTATAATTTTGAGTTTATCCATTTCTTCCTGCCAATTTGGATTTTGCTTCATATCATTTGGAGCTGTTATTAGAAGTATACACAAATTGTTATTCTTAATGAATTATACCTTTTATTATTATGTAATGACCCTTTTGATCCCTAGAAATATTTCCTCTTATGAAATTTACTTTCTCTGACACTGACATAGGTTCTCCAGCTTTCTTTTGTTTATTGTTTACATAATGTATCTTATTTCATCCTTTTGCTTTTATGTATATACTTATTTATATATTTTTAGACCTCATGGTCTACCTACTAGGATGGAGATGTCCTTGCTTTATCAGAGATGAAGAGACCACCCATTTGGGTCTATATTTAAAGTATGGATGTTGTAGGCAGCGTAGTTGAGTTCTTTTGTATTTAGTTTTGCAGTCTCTGCTACATTAGTTGAGCTGTTTAGAATATTTATATTCAAAGCAATATTTGATATGGTTATTTTAAATCTTGCTATTTGTTTTTGTTTTCCTACCTATTATTTGGGGTTTTTTAAATAGGTTTCTTTTTTTTTTTTTTTTTTTGAGATGGAGTTTTGCCCTGTCACCCAGGCTGGAGGCCAGTAAGAAGATCCTTGGCTCACTGCAACCTCCGCCTCCCAGGTTCAAGCAATTCTCCTGCCTCAGCCTCCGGAGTGGCTGGGATTACAGGCACCTGCCACCACACCCAGCTAATTGTTGTATTTTTAGTAGAGACGGGGTTTCATTCTGTTGGCCAGGCTGGTCTCAAGGTTTTTTTCTAGGTCTCTTACGGAATAAAGTAATAAAAATTTTTATGATTTATATTTCTCTTCAATATTGTCTTATAGCTATAGCTTTTTGGTTTAATTTGCAAAAGTAGCTCTGAGGTTCATAATATATATCCTTAACTTATAAGAGTCTACCTTCAAATAATTATACCACTTTATATATAAAGCTACTACTATATGTTATATTTTCCCCTCTCAACTTTTATGCTATTGTGGTTATACATTTTACCTCATATATTGTAAATCCTATCATATTTTTTATTTAAACAGTTAATTTTAAAACTACAGAAAATAAGTGTTATATTAACCCAAATATTTATAATTTCTAATAAACTTCATTCCAAGTTTCTATCTATTATCATTTTTCTTTTGCCTGAAGAAATTCGTTTTTTGTGTGGCAGTAAATTTTTTGAGCTTTCACTTGTCTAAACATTTTTTGATTGATTCTTATTGTTGAAAAATATTTTTGCTAGGAATTCTGTGTTGATTGGTGGTTTGTTTTTTTTCTGTTTATTTATTTATACTCTTGCTCTGTCACCCAGGCTGGAGTTCAGTGGTTTGATCTCGGCTCACTGAAACTTCCGCCTCCTGGGTTCAAGTGATTCTCCTGCCTCCGCCTCAAGTAGCTGGGATTACAGGCATGTGCCACCATGTCCAACTAATTTTTGTATGTTTAGTAGAGAAGAGGTTTCATCATGATAGACAGGCTGGTCTCGAACTCCTGATCTCAAGTGATCCACCTGCCTCAACCTCCCAAAGTGCTGGGATTACAGGTGTACAGGTGTGAGCCACTGCACCTGCCCTGTGCTGTTTTTTCTTAGAGTGCTTTCCGGGAGTCATCCATTGTCTTCTGCCTTGTGTAGTTGCTGATGTGATGTCCATATTTTTTTTATATTTTTTTCTTCCCCGAATATCCTTTTATTCTTGCTACAGTAAGATTTTCTCTTTAGCCTTTTGGTTTCTCGTGTTATGACTTGATATGATTTAATTTGTATTTATTCTGCTTAAAGTTAGTTGAGCTCCTTGAAGCTATAGTTTTTAGCTGTCAAATTTGTAAAAAATTTTTAACATTTTTTTGTTCACATATTTATTGTCTCCCACACTCTCTTCTGCTTCTGGTACTCTATTACATGTTTTTTTGTTTTTGTGTTTGTTTTTAATGTGTGTGGGTCTTTTATTTGTTTGTTTCTTTTTAAACAGTCTTGCTCTGCCGCTCAAGCCGGAGTGCAATGGCACAATCTCAACTCGCTGCCACCTCTGCCTCTAGGGTTCAAACAATTCTGCCTCAGCCTCCTGTGTAGCTGGTATTACAGGCATAAGCCACCAGGACCAGCTAATTTTTGTATTTTTAGTAGAGACGGGGTTTCACCGTGTTGGCCAGGCTGGTCTCGAACTCCTGACCTCAGGTGATCCACCCGCCTTGGCCTCCCAAAGTGCTGGGATTACAGGCATGAGCCATTGCATCCTGCCTTTAGATGATTTAATGTGGTTTTAGAGGCCATTTTCCCAGCCTTTTTTTTCCCCCCCTGTATTTCATTTTGGATAGAACCTATTGCTTAATCTTAAAGTTTACTGGTTTTCTCTTCTGTAATACTAATCTGCTATTAATCCTGTCCAGTTAATTTTTATTTCAGCCATTGTATGTTTTAACAACTTTGCTTCTCTTTTATATTTTTTCACCTCTCTTCTCAAAATGTCATGTTTTCTGTTAAGTTTTCAGCATGTTGAACATTATTTATCAAAGTTGCTTTAAGACCTTTGTCTGCTAAATTCATCATTACTCTCATTTTGGGGTCTGTTTCTATTCACTGATTTTCTTGTCAGCTATGGGTTACATTTCCTAGTTCTTCCTATGTATAGAGATTTTTTATTGGATACCACACATTGTAAATTTTACATTTTTTATTTTGTTGCATTGTTTGAAAGAATGTTGCATGTAATGATGCCTACACGCATGTTGAGTTACTTATGGTTCAGTCTGATTATTTTGTGGGTTATTAAGTTTTATAGAAAACACTCTAGGCTGGGCACAGTGCCTCACGCCTATAATCCCAGCACTTTGGGAGGCCGAGGCGGGTGGATCACGAGGTCAAGAGATCAAGACCATCCTGGTCAACATGGTGAAACCCCGTCTCTACTGAAAATACAAAAATTATCTGGGCATGGTGGCGCGTGCCTGTAATACCAGCTACTCGGGAGGGTGAGGCAGGAGAATTGCTTGAACCCAGAAGGCGGAGGTTGCAGTGAGCCGAGATCGTGCCATTGCACTCCAGCCTGGGTAACAAGAGCGAAACTCCGTCTAAAAAAAAAAAGAAAACACTCTAGATTTGCCTTTCTTCTAGGATTAGTTTAGGCCTATTATTAAGGCATACCTCTTCTGGAATCCCTACTGAAGTCCAACATATTCAGCAGACAATTCTTGGCCCTGAATGAACTCTGAGAATTGTTTGATTTACAGCTTCCCTATAAACTGCCTTTCCCTTGAAAGCTGTTATTTTCCCAATATCATGTAGTTTCCCCCTGTAAAGTACAGATTGATATTCAGGCAAAGACTCAAGAACACCCACTTCAGATTTCTGGATTTTTTTCTCTGCATAGCCACTTCCTCTCTGGCCCTCTTTTCTATACATTTTAGCTTCCTCAACCCCTCAAATTCTTTTTCTCTTTTCTTTTTTTTTGAGACGGAGTTTCGGTCTTGTTACCCAGGCTGGAGTGAAATGGCAGGATCTCGGCTCACCACAACCTCCGCCTCCTGGGTTCAGGCAATTCTCCTGCCTCAGCCTCCCGAGTAGCTGGGATTACAGGCACGCGCCACCATGCCCAGCTAATTTTTTGTATTTTTAGTAGAGACGGGGTTTCACCATGTTGACCAGGATGGTCTCAATCTCTCGACCTCGTGATCCACCCGTCTCGACCTCGTGATCCACCCGTCTCGGCCTCCCAAAGTGCTGGGATTACAGGCTTGAGCCACCATGCCCGGCCTTCTTTTTTCTTTTTGTGGACATTTTAGTAAATAACCTCTCTCAAATTCTAATTTCTGTATCCCATCCCTTGGTCATCTCAGTGCTATGATCTCAAGAACCATCAACAAGCTCTTCATTCTCAAATCTGTATCTCTAACCATAATCTCTCTCTCCCCTGACCTTCCCAAGTTTCACACCTGTGTATTCAACTCTTTAGGATATCTCTACATGGTAATAAATGCTTCAAGGAAATCTCAAACTCAAGATTTTAATAAGAATTCCTGGCCGGGCGCGGTGGCTCAATCCTGTAATCCCAGGACTTTGGGAGGCCGAGGCAGGTGGATCACGAGGTCGGCAGATCGAGACCATCCTGGTCAACATGGTGAAACCCCGTCTCTACTAAAAATTACAAAAAATTAGCTGGGCACGGTGGCGTGTGCCTGTAATCCCAGCTACTCAGGAGGCTGAGGCAGGAGAATTGCCTGAACCCAGGGGGCGGAGGTTGTGGTGAGCCGAGATCGCGCCATTGCACTCCAGCCTGGGTAACAAGAGCGAAACTCCGTCTCAAAAAAAAAAAAAAAAAGAATTCCTGGCCAGGCGCGGTGGCTCACACCTGTA